GGCTTTCATCAATGTTCTAGGGCAGATAGCCACTTGGATAGACTGAGAGAAGTCAGGCAAGTCAGAGGCTGAGCTTCAAGTTGGAAGTGTCTCTCAGAAAGAAACAAATCAATTTCACTGTGACACCTGAGCACATCCTTAAACAAAAGCGTTTACACCTACCTCTGAAGAACATGCGGTACTGTCAGGAATTTGACTCCTCTATATCCACCCTAGCTCTTGGTGACTTATTAATCTGCTAGTGTTTACTTAGAGGATACTCCTAGGATCCCTTATCTATTGGCTCTTGGTTAATTCTATTTCATCCTTTCTTACTTTTAAGCTACTTACTCACCGAATGGCCTTGTGACATCCTTTTGCTCTAAGTTTATCAAATTCAGTATTCTTTGTTACGCTTCTAAATAATAATTAAGGTTGGGATAACCATGAGACTTACTTAGCTAAAATCTCTTACCAATTGTGGTTTTCAGTGAAAAGATTTTATTATGCATTAAAGAAAATGTACACTATACGAATAAGCCGAAACTAGTGCATGCATGTGGTATCTTTATTATTAGAACCCTTTCCATTGAAAACTGAATATAACAAATAGAAGCTCCTAGAAGAAATCAGGAACAGAATTTCCTAACACAGATTTAATGGAAAGACATAACATATTTACCAGTAACCTATTTAAATAGAAGCTATAGAACAATCCCTTGTAATCTCTTCCACTAAATCATATTACTTTACCATTCTTATTACCATGGCACACAATTCAGGTCCTCCATCCTCTTTAGGATAATATGACATACTAAAACTATACAACAGTTCATCTGCAATTTTGTTCTTCCTGACTCTAATGTCTTAGTGTTCTTGTGTTATCTACAATTTTCCACATTTTCTTGTGTGTTACTGTGATGGTATTTTATAGACAGCTAAACTGTAAGTTATACAACTGATGTTGTTGTTCATTTATCTCTTACAAAGAGCAAAGACCTTAGCTGGTGGTTGTATATGGTACTATCCATCTAGTCATTTCTCTTTTTTTTGTTGGAGTTGGAGTTTCACTCCGTCGCCTAGACTGGAGTGCAGTGGCCACTCCCAGCCACCACAGCCTCGACCCACTGGGCAACGGCGATCCTTCCGCCTCAGCCTTCCAACATTCATCAATGTTCTAGGGCAGATAGCCACTTGGATAGACTGAGAGAAGTCAGGCAAGTCAGCCGGAATTACAGGCACGTACTACCACACCCGGCTGATTTTTGATTTATTGTAGAGGTGGTCTCGTCAAGTTGCCCAGGCTGGTCTCGAAACAGCGAGCTCAGGCAATCCACACACCTCAGCCTCCTAAAGGCGTGGGATTACAGGCCGAGCCACCGAGCCAAGCTCGTTTCTCTTTTTTTGAGTTGGAGTTTCACTCTGTCGCCCAGGCTGGAGTGCAGTGGCACACTCACTGCCACTCCAGCATTGACTGCTGGACTCCGGCGATCCTTCCTCCTCAGCCTCTGAAGTAGCTGGAACTACAGGTATGCAGTACTACACCTGGCTAATTTTTATTTATTGTAGAAAGAAGGTCTCACCAAGTTGCCCGGGCTGGTCTCGAACCCACGGGCTCAGGCAAGTCACTCATCTCAGCTTCCCAAAGTTCTGGGACTACCCGCTGAACCACCAAGTCCAGCCTGGCCATTTCTTAAATTTGGCAATAATTGTCAGATAACTTTGCTAAGTATCACTAGTCTTAAAAGTTGCACTACTTCAACTGCTCTGGTCAACAGTTCCATTTCTTGAAATCTAATTTTCCTAAAGGATCATGTAAGTAGTTACATAACACCATATGAAGACCAGAATCCAGACCAATCATCCCCATTATTTAAAAGGCAGAATGTCAAACATATTAGTTACCCTTTGTGCTTCAGTTTCTTCACTGATAAAAAGGGAGTTAAAATATATTCCATAGTGTTGTGGTAGTTTTTAAAGCTAACAAATGTTAAAAAACAGTTAGGGCAAAAACCGCCACATGGTCAACATTCTGCATATGTTTCTTGGGAATTTACTTTGTAATAGTTACTTTCTTTTTACCTTCATGGATCATCTTTATACCATGATATCTATAAATTTCCTTTAGTATATAAATGTATCTGCATTTCCATCTCTCATAACAGTTCTTTCAAGAATATAAAAATTAGAAAATTAGGTTTTCTATGGAAAATTTTAGGATACTGATTTGCTAGTTAAAAAAAAAATGCTGCTTCCTGTGGTTAATGAACATTCTTTTTATTTGCCAAAGTTATATTCTGTCTGGGAACAATGATACCAATGTGTTAGATAATCCAAATTAATAAACTTGATTAATAACATTTTACAGTATAGATGCTACTCCTCTGTTCCTACTTCAGATCAATATTTCTAAATCTTCAGAAGATATGCACAAAAAAACTCACTAAGTCACTTATTACAAATAATACTGGTTTGCTTTTAAGTGACAATTGCTATATATTCTTCCTCTAATCTCCAGAGAAACCTTTCCTACTCTATCTAGAGTGTGCAAACTTGCTGCATACAGGTAGCTACATCCCTTTTTCCATCCACTGCAGCAACCAACAGAAACCAAACTCAGTGGGCCATCTCAGATCATATTTATTGCCAAAGCCAAATAAAATCTATATACATTATATAATTTTTATCTAAGTAAAAACAAAATTAAATCCCAATTAAATTGATATGTTTCCTTTGCAAATCCAAATAGATCACAAAATTTATGGGAATAAGTATCAAGTAAAAACAACTGTTAAATAAGATATTACTCTCTAAATGTGATTATTATTGTACAGTACCCCAAAATCTGGTGATATTTCAATTGTTTATAACTTTGTCTCTTTTGTCTTTAAAGTAAACTGAGGCATGGAACAGTGAGAAATTCGACTAGGTCAACCCTCTTAATTCAGTTCTCCACATGCTGGAAAGAAAAGTACTCAATTCTTTTTTTAAGTAAAGAAAGGCCCAAGGACTTTAACTAAATGTAAAATTCTACAGATGAATGGCTTCTTCTAATGAAAGAAACCACGGTAATATTTTATGAGGCACAGAATAGCTTAACAGAACTTTAGCAACAAAGAAATCTTGTAAGCATTTAAACTTGATATATGGTATTTTTATCATGTATCCTAACAAAGGGAAACAAAGCAAACTAGGAAAACCGAATTCAAAGTTAAGGCTAAACAGTTTTCTAAAAAGATATATCTGCCAAAATAAAAGTTCAAAACAAATAACCACCACAAGATTCAAATTCTCACCTAAAGCAGTAAGAGTCTATAACATCAAACTTTCCTGGGAAATTTTAGAATCTTTGTGATCCACAATGAATTATTTAAATACTTAGGAGAAAAAATGCACAGCATATATACATCAATTTATACTTATAAACCATGTTCATGAGTATGGAAGAGACAATGTCCAGAGATCATTGCCTTTAAAAGTAGTTTATTTTAGAAGCATAGCTGGCTTCTAGATATTTTGCTTCTACCTCAAAAACTCCAAAGAAGAAAGTAGAGCACAGCCTTGAAGGTGCACTGTGACATAAACCTTTAGGTATCACAATGAAATATTTTCATTTAAAGGCCATGAAAATTTTATCATCCCAAGTATAGAATGTGTCCAGCTACACAGCCTGCTGATAGCCTCACATTTTGAGTGATCAGGCAAGTACAGCGTGATAGTGGCCATGTCTGTAACCACTAAGCCTTCTTGGTGCTGTTATTCAAGACGATCTTGTGCTTCACTCAAAACAAGCGTAGGCAAGTTGATCTTGGTTTTTCTTTTCAATTCAGCAACTTACACCCATCTCTATTTAAATGTTATTCCATAAAGGAAGGAGACTGTCACTACAGTGTTTAAAAATAGGGCTCCTGAAATGTTCTACACTCAAGATACTCGGGGGATTTGTTACAGTTTTATAGATATTGAAATTTCCAAAATAAAAAGGGGGCAAAGAGTAGGAAGAGAAAAGAGGAAGAAAAGTAAGAAAGGAAAAGGAGAGGGTGAGGGGGAGAATGGAATGTTAAGTCAAACAGAGCTGGGCTTGAGTCTCAGTTCTTTGTTACTTACTAGCAGGTGACCTTGGTAAACCTAAGGTTCCTCATCTGTAAAACTGGGATCACAACACTCCCTGCTTTATGAGGCTGTTAGGAGATTTGAATGAGATAACCATACGTGAAGACTCAATAGAATGTCTCACATGTAGAAAGCTATCAAACCATTAACTATTCCTTATAATTATGTTATAGTAATTAAATAAGTTTGTTAGTTTAATGAGTTTATAGCTTAAGCTTCTTATATTTAGAAATTCATTCAGTACTTTAACAACATGACATAATCTTTGTAAAACTAAGAAGAACAAGTGAGATCAATATGTAAATCATTTTCAATAAATAGTTTCTGGGGATTTAGCTTCTTATAGGGCAATAAGAACATAGACTTAAAAGTCAGACTGCCTAATTTTGAATTCCAAGCCTGCCACTTGCTGGTGGTGTGACTTCAAGCAAGTATTTATTCTGTGTTTCAGTTTCTGTCTGTTAACCAGGAATGACAATAGGGATGTTGTGAGGATTAAATTAATCAATTCAGGTAAATAGCTCAGAACAGTACCTGGAACTTAGTAAGTGCTATGTAAGTGTGAACATGAAGTTTGCTGTTAATAATTCTCATGAGGAAACTGTCTGTCATCTCAAAATTGACCACTGTTAAGTGTAGCTACTCTCTAGAGTAACTAGACTGGGAGATATGATTGGAAATGGGTGAGCTATAAGTCTGAACTAAAGCCTTGTCTTCCTGCTCAGCAGTTCCCTAACAACAAAATCTTGATCTTCTACCTGCAGATTCTACTTACCAAAGGTTGTTAAATGCTAAGTTACTGGCAAAATCCAAAAATATATTACCGCTGTGTGTGTGTGTGTGTGTGTGTGTGTGTATACGTATACACTAAAGGTTAAGGGGATGACCTTTAAGTGGTGGCAATGTGCTTTTATTTTAATTTATCTGTATTTGCTAATATTCTGCCATGCACATGTATTGCCTCTAGTATAATTAAAAGGTTATTTCAAAATTAAGAAGTGAAAAAAACATCTCATAAGTGTTTAAGAAAATACCCTCACAAATTCCATACCTGTATTTATGAATGATGGCATTAAATAATTTTCCATCTCTCCAGCAGGTTGTGAAATTTTCACACTGAATTCCAGCATAGCCCTCTGTTGCCTGCTGAGTCCAGAGCAGCAATCTCTCTTTTGCAGACATATCCTCTGACTCTCCAGTAACATGGATATCAGATATCTAAACACAACAAAAAGTGTTAAACCTTCAGAACGGAAGGAAGGAAGTTAACTCAGATTAAGAACCTACTATGTGCCAAGCACTTTACAAATGCTATTTTGTTTAATTCTCATAACTTTCACTTAAAAGTTAAACAAATTCTCCCTACTTTACATACTGGAAAACTGAGTTTCAAAGAGGTTAACAACCAAATGAAAATGTCAGATTTAACTTGTGCCCAATTTTTGAAATCTCATCTATTTTTATTATACCAAAACATTCACAGCATTAAAAATTCTGCATATTCTTCTTTGCTAATCAGATCTGTTGAAAGAACTTAAGCAAATGTTTTTCCAAGTTCAAATTAATCACAAGTAAAACCAATAACTTACTCTATACTACCACCTGCAGAGCAGAATTTGATCCAACAGGCATTCTGTGTAAGGAACAAAGAAAGAAATAGTACCCTCTCCTGTTAACTACATTATATAACAACTTGGCAAAAACTTTTCTAATTTTCTCATAAGTCCTTGTTTAGGTTACTCAATATGAAGCCTTAATCAACTCATTCTTTCCCTATGCTGTATTCGTTTTCATGGGGTTTTTAAGTCTCTTCCATTGAATGATCATAAAATAGGTCACCGGTTGCCACGATTTACATTTTTCCCAAGAGTCTTCTCTTTGATAAGGGTCCTACTTAATCTGCTGGTAATTATATTAAAGCACAAAGTGACTTTGCCAGGGGTCACACAGTCATTCCAAAGCTGGGATTAGCACCAACAACAACTGTTCCCTCAATCAGTGCAGGATGCAAAGCCAAGGGATCAAGAAGGCAGGCGTCAGGCCAGGATCAGGACAACCAAGAGACTGGAAGCAAGGCGTGGGGTGACACAAATCATGTTCCAGGTACAAATCTGGAATGGGAAATGCAATGCTAGACTAGAGTCATGAGACAGGCTGCTCAACCTAGCCTCTAGTCTCAGAGCTTTGAATAACTTATTTCATGTCTGTGAGTCAACACTCTCATCTATAAAGTAAGGTGGTCAGAGGCAGAAGTAGATAATGTATGCTTAAGGCCCTTTTCAGTCTAAAGTCATACTAAGAGACTGTAAATACAAGAGAAGTCAGAGGTCAAAACAGGCAGCATCAAGCCAGTGAAAGTGGAGAATAAAAAAACTCCAGAATAAAGAAAGACTTGTACACATGGCAGCGCCGGGCTCACACAGGAAGTCCTTGATTCCTTCCAGCTGCCACAAGGCCAGAGGCACAACCAACCCAGAGACCTAGGCATGATGGCTGCAGGAACTGAAGGCCTTGCAGGCCTGGCTGCCCCTGACACCATTGCTTGTTGGAGAAGATGGTATGGGCCCCATATATCCTTTCTCCAGCACTCAGTAGAGGCAGCCATGCCTGGAGAGCTGCTCTCTTAGCTGCAGCCCCAGACACTCTCCTAGACAAAGGGCCAGGATTTGGAAGTGGAGCAAACCATTCCCATTTTATTCATCCTTCCTAGGAATCTGTGCCATACTCCATAACATGGAAAAGAATTGTGCACGAACACATTAGATAATGTACATACATAGGAGATATTTCTTTTTTAAAAAATACGGGAAAAAAGATCATAAAGTTCACCAATATTCTCCCACTCAACTCTCAATGATATTCTGGTCTAATATGGCACTACAGTACCATTCTGGTACATTGTGTGAGTTTAAATTCTATCTCTACTAGCTACATGTTTGAGTCACTTAGTTGATTTAAGACCATTCCCTCACTTGTAAATTGATGATAATAATTATTACATTGTGTGTCAGAATTCAACAACATTGGCACAGTGTAGCAGCCAGCCCATGGAAAGCACAGGTTCAATATAGGTTAGCTGTTTTATTGTTGTAGTTATTATTATTCTTTTCAGCAAATGGAGAAGCACAAATTTGGCTTTATTATTCTCCCAATTCTCTTCCTGTGCAGAGTAAAAGAGTAAGATTTTAAAATTTCCTGCCTCAAACTAATCAAAATCTATGAACACAAGGGTTCAGAGAAACTAACCTTGAAAACTGTGAATGAAAATTTCATGACAGGTCCCTATAAGCCTTTATAAATTATAAAATCAACTGTTGCTGGGACTCTTTAATGTAGTGACCACATGGGTGGTATTTATAACAATATATGAGTATGAAAAGGTAGACAGCTGAGGAGAGCTAGGACTGTTTTCCGCTGATTCAAGAATATCCTATGCCTGTTCAGTTATAAAAGTAATTATCTATTTACTAGGAAAGTCAGTAAATTTCAACTACAAGGTACCAGTTTACTATGTTCAAGTACTACACAGCATTTTTACCAGAGGAAGGATGTTAGGAGTTTAGAGGTCTGAAAATGGTCTAAATATCAATCAAGAGAAAACAATGTATTCTTGTTAAATAAGTTTCCAACAGATGAATTTCAGATTGTTACAGACACATGCTATCAAACTATATATAAATATACTTAAAAACTATAATTTTAAGTGCATATTCAAATATGTTATGAACCAAGCTCTAACATATCAGACTAACCCATTAACTTACTTTCAGCTTCTCCTGCTATTTTCAATAAACTGAACATCAATCTTCTCATGGCGATTTATAGTGTTTTAAATATATACTTGCTACCATTAGCCACTAGCTATCTGACTATATCAGACTTTTCATGATACCGTGCAATCAAACCAAAAAGAAAAATGAATATTAAAAATTGTGAACAATTATCATTAACACTATAAGAAAGGGATTGGCAACAGTGGAAAACTGCCGGAGGCGGGGGCACACCTCATCAATAAGGGTACTTGATCTCAAATCAGGTTAAGTGAGGACCAAAGTGAGGCCTCACACTTTGCCTGCACAATGACCATTTGTATACTCAATTCTGAATTGTACGCCACATCTTTAAGATGAAAAAAGAAAAAAGAAAAAAAAGAAAAAAAAATTGTACATCTTCCATCATCATTCATAATCCCTAATTTGAAATCTGTATGCTCAACAGAACAGCCTGAATCCTCCGCTAATAACAGGTTAATGATAGTCCCACATTCAGGTCACGTTCCAGGAAGTAATCAAGCCACCTCTCTTCCAAATGAGGCAACAGTGATGACCAGAGGGAGTTTCAATTCATGCAGCCTAGTTTCAAATCTCAACTCCAACAGTTAATGAAATGAATGACCCTGACTATTCACATAATCTCTCTAAAATCTTTTCTTCTTCATCTTTAAAATGTAAATGACAGCAAAATCTCAAAATAAATTAAGAAAACAATCCCACTTACAACAGCTACAAAAAATGCTTAATAATAAATTTATCTAAGGAGGTAAAAGAACTTTACAGTGAAACTATAAAACACTGATGAAAGAAACTGGAGAAGACACAAATAAATGGAAAAATATCCTGTGTTCATGACTGGAAGAAAATTTTAGAATTTCTAAATTAGAATTTTGTCCATTCTAACCAAAGCAATATGCAGATTCAATGCAATACCTACCAAACTTCCCATGACACTTCACAGAAACAGAAAAAAAAAATCCAACAATTCATATGGAACTACAAAAAACCAAAGTTGCCAGAGCAATCTTGAGAAAATAGAACAAAACTGAAGGCGTCATGCTACCTGACTTCAAAATATACTACAAAACTACAGCAAAGAAAGCAGCATGGTAGCCGGGTTCGGTGGTTCAGTCTGTAATCCCAGCGCTTTGGGAGGCTGAGGTGAGTGAATTGCCTGAGCCCGCAGGTTCGAGACCCACCTTGGCAACTTGGTAAGACCTCATCTCTACAATAAATCAAAAATTAGCCAGGCATGGTAGCGTGCACTTGTAGTTTCAGCTACTTGGAAGGCTGAGGCAGAAGGATTGATGGAGCCCAGCAGGTCGAGGCCACAGTGACCGGGAGCAGCCACTGCATTCCAGTCTGAGTGACAGAATGAGTCACCAACTCAAAAAAAAAAAAAAAAAAAAGAAAGAAAGCAGCATGGTACTGGCATAAAAACAGACACACAGACCAATGGAACAACAGAGAGTCCAGAAATAAATCCACATATTTATGGTCAACTGATATTTGACAAATGTATCAAGAACACACAATGGGTAAAGAACAGTTCCTTTAGTAAGTGATGTGGGAAAATCAGATATTCATATGCAGAAGAATGAAATGAGACCCTTATCTCTGTAAACAAAAATCAACTCAAAGTGAATTAAAGACTTAAATGTAAGACCTAAAACTATACAGCTATTAGAAAAACAAAAACTAAAAAAGCTTCTTGTCTTTAGTTTGAGTAATGATTTTTTTGGATATGGCTCCAAAAGCACAAAGAACAAAAGCAAAGATAGAAAAATGAGATTACATCAATACAAAAAGCTTCTGCACAGCCCAAGAAACAATCAACAGAGTGAAGAGACAACCTATGGAATAGAAGAAAATATCTGCAAACTTATATTCATCAGATAATGAGTTAACACCCCAAATACATAAGGAACTCAAACAACTTAATAACAAGAAAACAAATAACTTAAAAATGTACAAATGGTCTAAATTAATATCTCAAAAGAAAACATACAAGTGGCCAACAGGTATATGAAAAATGTTCAACATCACTAGGCATCAGAGAAATGCAAATTAAATCCTCAATGAGGTATCACTTCACACCTGTTAGAATGGCTAATCTCAAAAAGACAAAAGATAACAAGTGTTGGTGAGGATGTGGAGAAAAGGGAATCCTTGCACATTGTTGGTAGAAATGTAAATTAGTACAGCTACCATAGAAAACAGTATGGAGGTGTCCCCAAAATTAAAAATATAACTATCATATGATCTAGTAATCCCAATGGGCATATAGTCAAATAAAATGAAATCAGAATGTAGAAGGGATATCTGAACTTCTGTATTTACTGCAGCACTATTCATAATAGCCAAGATATGGAATCAACCTAGGTGTCCATCAGTTGAAGAATCGATAAAGAAAATGTGGTATATATACACAATAGAATACTATTC